GCGTATTATTTTCTCCTCCATTCTTCGTGGCCATGAATTTTTAAATGTGAACATTTACTTTATTTCCTCCCACACTTCTGCCATAGTGAGCTTAACGAAGGATTTACCAAATTCTATTAAATAAATAATCACACAGCTAATTAATCTCCATCCACATTCCAAATGATTTTTAATTTTTTTTTTTATTTTATGTTTTTTTTTCCTTTTTATTATCCGACCAATAAGAATGGCGCGTAATATCCTTATCGACCATTTGTTATTTATGCATCATCAACAACGACGGCGACGATGAAGACTGACAAGACTGGTGGCAGCAACGGCCGGCGTTCGAGAAAACGACACTGTCCTTAAATGCTTAATGATGCTACAAGGCAAAACAAGCAGATTGCCACCCTTGTCATTTACATAAGATTTTTCATGTGATTTAAAGTTTACGTCCTGCATTCATGATAAATTGTTATAAAATAGCACCCAAATGTTGGCAAGTGTGTCATATATATATATTTAATATTTTATATTCAGTTTGTAAAAAAAAACTAAATATATATTAATTTTAAAGTAGGCTGGCTATAATCATTTTTTGCAATCACATTTCATTTGCACACGATTGTTGGTGTCAGTCATGCTTGTTTGGAAACTGGGCAATGTTTTTTTTGGCTCTTTTTATGCTTCCACTTCATACAATGAAAAAATGCAGTTTTTTGCTTTTCTTGTTTATGACAGGCAAAAAATTATATTTTGTATTTATGTTTTAAACGTTCTTCGAAATGGCTAATAATTTAAATTTCTCCATTTCATGTGAAAAGGAAGTTATATGAAAGCTGTGCTGCATCATTCATCAAACATTTTTTACGAAATCAATATCATGGATATGGTAACTTCCACTCTTGGTGTGAATAATTCACCTTAAAAGTGCTGGTAATGCTCAAATGGTTTATTCACCGTTCGTTTCATTGCGTCTGGTTTTTGGAATGTATTAAAGATTTCTTTACGATGTACGGCGGTGGGTACGACCTTTTATAAAGGAGACTCAATTAAATGGCTGCAGACATTTTAGTATATATCATTTGATATGACCATAACGTGCCTCATCGAAATAACGCATTTAGACCCTAGGTCTCTGGACCAAATCCATTTCAGGATGCTAGGAGTTGATCAAGGGTTGTCCGTCTGTCTGTTTGGCTGGCTGGCTGGTGCGCACGATAACTCTCGATGGGAGTATCCGATTTGGTCCAAACTTGGTACATCGTAATATTTTTGTCAGACTTCGATCGAGTTCGGAGATGGGCAATATTGGTTCACTGGTACCTATCCCACAAAAAGTCGAAATTTCCAACAAAAATATTTTACTGCACAGAAAGAGAAATGATAATTCGATTTTGCTGCAACTTTGCATATCCGAATATTTGCGTCAGTTTTAGGTCAGGTGCGAAAATGGACAATATAGCTTCGCTCCATCAAGTACCTCCACCACAAAGGATAAAAATTTTGAATAATTACAACTCTTGTAAAATGTGACGTAAGAGTCCGATTGTCTTTAAATTTCACACATCCCAATAATTTCATTAACCCTAGATGTGGTGTTATGATGTAATACATCGGTCCAGTCCTTCCAGTACCTCCAAATGTCGAAATTTTCAAAAAAATTGCAAAATCTGCAAATACCAACATTTTTACTAGTTCTAGGTCTGGTGCGAAAAATAAGATTTTCCTCGGTTCAGGCGAACTTAGTGTCTAATTTATGTATAAATATTTAAGATATTTGTACTAGGAAGGTACGACAAGTACGTCTATGTACGAGAATTATATATAAAAGTCCATGGATTTTAATACATTTATCTGTGATAAAATGTACGAAAAGTGTATAAATGTATTTTAATTTTTATACCCTCAGCCATATGGCTACAGAGGGTATATATCATTTGATACGGCCAAAACGTGCCTAGTCGAAATAACGGTTTTAGACCCTAGGTCTCTTTGGACCAAATCCGTTTCAGGACATTTCGAGTCGATCTAGCGATGTCCGTCCGTCCGTCCGTCCGTCTGTCTGTCTGTCTGTCTGTCTGGCTGGCTGGTGCGCACGATAACTCTCGAAGGGAGTATCCAATTTGGTCCAAACTTGGTACATCGTAATATTTTTGTTAAACTTAGATCGAGTTCGGAGATAGGCAATATCGGTCCACTCCTTCTGGTACCTCCCCCACAAAAGTTCGAAATTGTCAAAAATTTAATTTTTGCACAGAAAGAGAAATTATAGTCCGATTTTGCTCCAACTTTACAAATCTTAATATTTGTGTCAGTGTGAGGTCGGGTGTAAAAATGGAAAATATCGGCCCACTCCATCAAGTACCTCCCCCACAAATAGTAAAAATTTTGAATAATTACAACTCGCATAAAATGTGATGTAAGTGTCCGATTGTCTTAAAATTTTACACATCTCAATATTTATATTAACCCAAGGTCTGGTGTTAAGATGGAATATATCGGTCCACTCCTTCTGGTACCTCCCCCACAAAAGGTCGAAATTTAAAAAAAAAAAATATTTTTTTTTTTTGCACAGAAAGAGAAAGAATAATTCGATTATTCTGCTACTTTGCAAATCCTAATATTTGCATCATTGCTAGGTCTGGTGCGAAAATGGAGAATATCGGTCTACTCCTTCTGGTACCTCCCCCACAAAAGGTCGAAATTTGCAAAAAATATATTTTTTGCACAAAAAGAGAAAGGATAATCCGATTTTGCTCTCACTTTGCAAATCCTAATATTTGCATCAGTTCTACGTTAGGTGTAAAAATGGACAATATCGGTTCACTCCTTCAAGTACCTCCCCCACAAATGGTCAAAATTTTGAATAATTACAACTCTCATAAAATGTGATGTATGAGTCCGATTGTCTTCGAATGGCGCACATCCCAATATTTATATTAACCCAAGCTCTGGTGTTAAGATGAAGTATATTGGTCCACATCTTATGGTACCTCCCCCACAAATGGTCGAAAATTTGAGATATATATTTTCTGCACAGAAAGGAAGCAATAATCTAATTTTGAAAAACATAACGCTCAAAGAAAGCGAAATAAGGATTAACTCCTTTCAAATTTCACACATACAAATTATTTTTGCTAACACAAGATCTGTTTTGAAGATGATCCTATATATCTGCGAACAACTTCTGGTACCTCACCCACAAAGAGACACATTTTTCAATATTTTTATCTGTCATAAATTGCGAAACAACTCAGTGATTCTTTACAATTCCTATATCCATCTGCTATAATAATATTTATATCATATTTATGTATGTCCGATACGAAATTGACAATATTGACCCATTCTTTAAAAACCCACTCCATAGAGGGTGAAGAGGGCTGAGGGTATACATCTTTCGGCAAAGCCGACCGATACTTTTTTACTTGTTTTTTTTTTTCAATCGTATGAAACACGTGCGATTTGCTAAAATTCTTAATTTGTATAAATATTAAACAAATATATATGTTAAACAATGGGGTGCAGCGGCAAAGTCTCCGTAGATTCGCACCAAACAGAAACAAAAAGTAAAAAAGAGGCAAATTTGGAATTGTAGTCTAGATGTTCCAAAAAAATTAAACTTTAAAATATATTTGAAATATGGTGCAGGAATAGAGCTGGAACTCGGAATATTTATAAAGCGATCACTGGTAGTGGTATATTGGGTAAATTTCCAAATGGTATTAAATCATGAATTTTTTCAGTTTTTGGTCTATTTCAACCCCTAAATATTATGCGATCATCTCCAAAAGAAATAGGGTTCTATTCTGGCCCTAGCCCCATCTCCACTCTAAATTTCGTGAAGATCGGACCATAATTGCGACCTGTAGAGTGATTACAAATTAACATGGACAGACGGACGGATGGACATACATAGCTAGATCGACTCAGCTCGGCGAGATAGGAAGATCCATATATACTTTCCTATATTTGTATACCCTCCACCTTGGAAAGTAAGGTATATTAACTTTGTCATTTTGTTTGTAACATCCCTAAATATTCATAGTAGACCCCATAAAATATATATATTCATAATCAGCATAATTTTTAGCCCAATCAAACTAATAATACCCCCAACACATAGTGTTGTAGGGTATAAAAAAACAAACTCATGCAAAATAAAATTTTCTACAAATAAGTCTTGTTCGGATAACATTTTCTATAATTATAATAAATATTTGTATACCCTCCACCTTGGAAAGTAAGGTATATAAACTTTGTCATTTTGTTTGTAACATCCCTAAATATTCATCGTAGACCCCATAAAAAATATATATATATATATATATATATATATATATATATATATATATATATATATATATATATATATATATATATATATATATATATATATATATATTCATAATCAGCATAAAGCATGGAATCACGATAAAGCCCACATTATTTGACCTATAGCGTCAAAATTTAGCAGAACAAATTGTATTGTGCTTGGGGTGGTTGGTATCGAAAATATATCGGTCCGCGTTTTGGTATAGTCCCCATATAACGGTACGTCCCGATATTCGGTATTTTGATGATTTTAGCCACATTTTTCAACGGAATTGTCTGATAATCCACACAAGGAGTTCCTTGTAGGTACTTTATACCTTGGAAGATAATTATCTATATAGGTCCATGATATCGTATAGCCCCCATATAACGATACCCTCCGATATTCGGTATTTTGATGATTTTAGCCACATTTTCAACGGAATTGTCTGAAAATCCACACAAGGAGTACATTGTGGGTAATTTATACCTCGGAAGAGAATTATCTACATAGGTCCACGATACCGTATATCCCCCCATAAAGCACCTTCCGATATTAGATATTTTAAAGATTTTAACAGAATTTTTAATGGATTTTATTTTTTGAAAATTTTCTAATTCGTTCCAAATGGTTTTTACAATCGGAATATATACAACTTATAAAGAACATTCTTCAAACCCAATAGCAGTGCATTTTATACGCCCTCGTTTTAACTTCAAACATTCCCTGCTGAATGATATTTTCTACGTAATATAATAACCAAAATAAAAAAGCAAAAGCGACACACATTATTTCACCTCGTATGTATCATGTGATTCCAAAGGTGTCATATCCGTTTTGTCTTACATTACATTTCCTGGAACAAAGTTTTGTTATGATGTCGAATGTTAGAGCATAGTGATTTTGTTTTCTGCCACTTACAAGTGAAATACAGCAACCACTTAAACATGAAATTATCTCAGGTTATTCGATATTTGGTTGTCTTGGCGTCGGCAATATCGATATGGAGGGTAGCTAGAAGAAAAGGAAAACAAATAGACAAATTCACCTTTGCCACCGACTGCAAGATTCATTGACTTGGTTCGCTACTTGTTATCTCAGCTTTTTGCAATTCACTTTTTTCAAATACGCCAGAGGAATAGAATAACAGCCACGTTTCAAAATGACATTTATCTATGCTATACGTGCCGTTGCTTTCCTTTGATTTCATTTTTTAGTCTCGTTTGAAAATGAATAAAATTTTTAGTAGGGCATACGAAACTTGGAAATGTGCCAGAAAAATATTTTAAGAGAAACACAAAAAAATGTATATACTTAGAGAGAATGTAACAAAGTTGGATATTTGTTGTAATTTTGTGTGCTTGAAAAACAATTAAAGTCTGATTCGAGAGGAATTTATTTAAATTCGATTTTAAATAAATTCGAAGAGGAAATACACATTTTTTATACTCGACGACATTATGCGTTGGGAGTATTATAAGTTTGATTGGGCCAACAATTATGTAACATCTCGAAACATTGGTTTCCCACATAGGAAAGTATATATGGATCTTCCTATCTCGCTGAGTCGATCTAGCTATGTATGTCCGTCCTTCCGTCTGTCCATGTTAATTGGTAATCACTCTACAGGTCGCAATTATGGCCCGATCTTCACGAAATTTAGAGTGGGGGTGGGGCTAGAGCCAGAATACAAGCCTCATAATATTTAGGGTTTTAAATGGACCAAAAACTGAAAAATTTGCTGATTTTGCAGTTGCTCCACAGTTTGCAATTATGGACCAATCGAAGCGGAAGTTAGCATGGGGCTAAAGCTTAGGGCTGGGCAGAAGCCTTCCAATTTTGATGGTCATCGGGTAATAATTAGTGGGTGAAATAGACCATAACATTTGTATTAAATAAAAGTCAGTTTTCCATTAAACCGCGAATATTTTTAATCCAATCGAAATCACAAATAGACGAACAGGTCAATTCTGACCGTTACGTAGATGCCGATAGTAAATGTATCGATTATATATAGCGAAATATATGCAATGTGTATATACAAAGGAAGGGGATGTTAGTTAGAATGCTTATATCTCAAGAATGGCTTGACCGATTTTGACAAATTTTGTCAATTCAGAATGACCTCTTGACATAAAATTTATAATATTTTGTAATATTTTTCCATCTTACAACACAGGTTGGGGATATTATATTAGTATCGCAAATATAGCTCGATCCTCACGAAATTTTTCACAAGCGTAGGGTTGGGCTCAGAAGGGATAGGCCTATTGTTTTTAAGGATGTCCGCAATATATTAGGGGTTGAAATGGACCAACAACTAAAAATTTTCCTGACCGTTATAAAGGTGGCAAATAGAAACCAAAGGGCAGGAAATCTCGCATAAAGTTAGAGTTTAGGAAAGCGGGTAGAATGGACCACTAATTTTGTGTGAAAAATACCAGCATTACTTTCAGGCGATATCCGAAATGCACAAAAGGCGAACTTCTGGCTTTTTTATGCTGGTTTCGTTAACGAATATAGCCAAATATTGTAGACAAGAAAATCATATAGATGAGCCTATATGCGGGCCTCTTGCTTTTCGGAATTTTCGCAAATTAATTAGAGGTTCAAATGAACCAAAAATAGAAAAAAAAAATCCTGATCACACAATTGAAACCAATCGACACGCCTGAGAAGAGAGTTAAAGACAGGAATTCTAGCATTTTGAATGACCATTGGATTAAATTTAGCTATAAAATGGACCACAACAACTAGCATCACGACGGAGTGCGTAAATATAGGGCGAATGTCCCTAGTCAAAATGCTAAGGGTAATATCTGGGCAGTGCTCAGCTGTAGCTATGAGACTGAGGAAATAAGAATTAAATATAAATCGTATTCATATATCAAATTTAGAATTTACAGAATTATCTTTAGCAACATTCTGCGAATCTGCTATTGGAATTTTTCCGTGCACAATATTTTAAATTTGACTTAAAAGAAATAGTTCAATAGCCATTATTTAGAAAAAGATCCTTTTTCAGCACTCCTACAAAGTATGAACAGACTTTATGTTACAATCGAAGCTACAAATTTAATATACCCTCCATCGTATGGCTGACACTCAAGACTGTATGGCATATAGGTACATAAAGACAAGCAAGACAAATGAACATTTTCTTTACACCATTCTATAATAGAAAATACAAAATGTTTACACTTTTTGTTTACGCATTATGTTTGTTATATTGTCTCGTTGTCTGCAAGAAGACAATGACTAGAATGGAAAATATCTTTAGGCTGTCCTATAAACATAGAGACGTGAATGATGAAAGCAAATTGTACTCGGCTTTAAGCAATTTTACAAAAAAAAAAAAAAAAAAAAAAGAATAACAAATACACGAAAGGCAATTTTGGAAAGTGTCCCACAGATATATTTGTTTTGTCGAAATAAATTTAATAATACGGTAATATTCAAAGGCCACGAAACGTATTTATTTATGCTTTTTGACTTTCAAAGCTTTTTCATAACAAGATTCTAATAAAAGAAACTATACTTTTTTCCAACTGTTTTATAAAAAAACATCTTGTTTCTTCATATCAAGCACACATTGTCAGGTTCGGCCAAGAAGTATTCAGACAATTTTGGTGAATACGGGCTCAAATTTAGGTACGAGTGTAGCTCCCATACATAATTTGTTCGGATTTCAATTTGATTGTGCGTCACATGTGTAATATTCGTCCAAATCAAATGGATTTCAGCACATCCGATCTAATTCCGCTTAGAAGAAAGAATTTAAAACATAGCTCCCATACATATCGTTCATCTGATTTTCTAATTTTGTCCCTCCTAGGCGTAAAAAAACTACATAACAACGTTATTCAGAACAAGTAAACCAGTAAGGAAAGCTCAAAAGTCGGGCGGGGCCGCCTATATGATACCCTACACCACTATGCATATTTAGTAGAGCTCTCGTAAAAAGGTTTATACAGGGCATTTCAGAGCTCTATGAGATATTTGGCACAAAATCAAAATCTATCTAATTCTATCGTGCATTTTACGAACTATAGCTATCTCTGAACCGGGTTTCTCCAAATTTGACGTATTAGCTTCTAGACTGAATTCGGTCTTATGTACAAAAATTCAGGTGATTTGGGCTGATATTGACCATTTAGTGCACAATTAACCTGAAAACGGATGAAGATATATATGGGAGCTATATCCAAATCTGAACCGATTTTCACTAAATTTGATATACTTGCTTCTAGGCTGAATTTGGTCTGATGTACTAAAATTCAGTCCATTTGGACTTGTATCGGCCATTTGGTGCACAATTAACCCGAAATCGGATGAAGATATATATGGGAGCTATATCCAAATCTGAACCGATTTCGATAAAATTACAAACAACTATTTCTGGCCTGTATCTTATATCTGGCACCAAATATCATTCTTGTGGCGTGCATATTACGAATGTGAGAGGCTTAAACACCAAATCGGATAAAACATATATATGGGAGCTATAGCTGTTTCTGAACCGATTTTCTCCAAATTTGTTGTATTTGCTTTAAGGCTAATCTCGGTCACATGTGCCAAAATTCGGGCCATTTGGGCTGATATTGGCCATTTGGTGCACAATTAACCCGAAATCGGATGAAGATATATATGGGAGCTATATCCAAATCTGAACCGATTTCTATAAAATTACAAACAGCTATTTCTGGGCTGTATCTTATATCTGGTACCAAATATCATTCTTGTGGAGTGCATATTACGAATGTGAGAGGCTTAAACACCAAATCGGATAAATCATATATATTGGAGCTATAGCTTTTTCTGAACCGATTTTCTCCAAATTTGTTGTATTTTCTTTAAGGCTAATCTCGGTCACATGTGCCAAAATTCGGGTCATTTGGGCTGATATTGGCCATTTGGTGGTCAATTAACCCAAAATCGGATGAAGATATATATGGGACCTATATCCAAATCTGAACCGATTTCGATAAAATTTAAAACAGCTATTTCTGTGCTCCATCTAATACCTGGTACCAAATATCACGGTTGTGGAGTGAATATTACGAATGTAAGGGACTAAAACACTAAATCGGATGAAACATATATATGGTTGCTCTATCTATATCTGAACCGATTTTCACTAAATTTGATGTACTTGCTTCTGGGCTGAATTTGGTCCGATGTACTAAAATTCAGTCCATTTGGACTTATATCGGCCATTTGGTGCACAATTAACCCGAAATCGGATGAAGATATATATGGGAGCTATATCCAAATCTGAACCGATTTCTATAAAATTACTAACAGCTATTTCTGGGCTGTATCTTATATCTGGTACCAAATATCATTCTTGTGGAGTGCATATTACGAATGTGAGAGGCTTAAACACCAAATCGGATAAATCATATATATTGGAGCTATAGCTTTTTCTGAACCGATTTTCTCCAAATTTGTTGTATTTTCTTTAAGGCTAATCTCGGTCACATGTGCCAAAATTCGGGTCATTTGGGCTGATATTGGCCATTTGGTGGTCAATTAACCCAAAATCGGATGAAGATATATATGGGACCTATATCCAAATCTGAACCGATTTCGATAAAATTTAAAACAGCTATTTCTGTGCTCCATCTAATACCTGGTACCAAATATCACGGTTGTGGAGTGAATATTACGAATGTAAGGGACTAAAACACTAAATCGGATGAAACATATATATGGTTGCTCTATCTATATCTGAACCGATTTTCACTAAATTTGATGTACTTGCTTCTGGGCTGAATTTGGTCCGATGTACTAAAATTCAGTCCATTTGGACTTATATCGGCCATTTGGTGCACAATTAACCCGAAATCGGATGAAGATATATATGGGAGCTATATCCAAATCTGAACCGATTTCTATAAAATTACAAACAGCTATTTCTGGGCTGTATCTTATATCTGGTACCAAATATCATTCTTGTGGAGTGCATATTACGAATGTGAGAGGCTTAAACACCAAATCGGATAAAACATATA